AGCTGGACCAAAGGAAATGTCTGAAATGTACTATATAGCCCATGAGTACATCCAAAGTTCCTTGCTCTATCGTGTCATAGGCAAGTTGTCGTTCACAATTGTCGATCTGCGCAACTTCCCGTCGCAACGCGATCGCCTCCCAAGCAGTTCTTCCGACCGACGACGCCTAGTCCTTGGGACAAACCAAGGCGCGTAGTCCTTGGCACACAGCACGGCGCAAAACTGTCCTCGACGGTCTTGGCGCGCCTGGAGCCGGAGCGCCAAGGCAAAGCGCGAAAAGGAATGACGAGGACTGGACGCCGCGTCTCTACTTGCGCGAGCCGAGCGCAGCATTCACCAAAAAGAGGGTGTCATTGTTTGTCTACATGAACTATCGAATCATAGACAAGTCAAGAACTAAGAACATATCATGCAGACATCTGTTACAGCCTTGATTTCCCCGACTGACTGATCATTGACTTGACAGCTTGCCAAAGGAACAACATGGACTCAATAAACCCCAAGAACGCGCTTGCAGGGTTCAATCAAAAAGGCTTGCTGGAACTTGCCCCGACAAAACACATTCTCTTTCTGCTCCGTGCTTTAAATTCAAGCTCCTGGTGTTTGGAAAGCATCTCTTCCACCAGTTTACACATAATCAAACAAATCGAGGCCTTGTCGTGATGTAAGCCAATAAAAACTGGCGTGGATATGTTCAGAAAGGAATCGGAGACTGGACTTTCGCAGCTGCGCAGGCAAAATGTCCAGGTTTCAGTTTCGAACATGTCTGACAGAATGTATGGCCCTCCGACCGTCCTTGAGATCCCGTCTTGCAAAGGTCACTGACCCATCCTGAAAAAGGTCACTGTGATAAGGTCCTGGTACATGTGCATACAAGAAAGCAATCGATCAATCGTTCGCTTTGCGCTCAAAACGTGGGGGTTTGGTGTTTGGACAGCATCTGAAGATTGCATTTGCTGTCCAGGCACCGGGAAGAACAACCAATATACTCCCCTTCTAGAAGGGCATTCACCTGTAGCGACAAGAAGAATCACCCTGGGCCCTAGTCCGAGGCCCTGAGCAAAATCAAGGAAGGTTACTTGATGAGGAAACCCCTGATGCACGCCCACCGTGGAAATGAAGAATCAACGTGCAGCTCCCATTGCATCGGCCCGCTGGTTGGCGCACGGTTCGGCCCAGGAATTGCGTCCACTCGCGCTGTGATGTTGGAACCTCAGTCTTACACAGCACGGTTTTGTATGGATTGAGAGTAGACGTCACAAGGGCCCCCAAGTTCAGTGATTCCAAGTCAGCCTCCTTTGTCTAAGACATCTTGGGGTGGTGCTATCGAACCTCTGAAACCACTGCAAAGATCTGGTTTATGCCCAATCTGAGGCTATGTTCGTGATGGCCAAGCGAGAGACACTCGAACCAAAAGAGGGAATGTCCGTAGACTTGCATAAACTACGAGTACGAAGCAATCCTAGCAGTCGTAGCATGCTGTAGGCCTGTGAAGCACGTCACGCGAAGAACATTGATCTTTGGCACGCGGGCCGCGTTGGTTGAGAATCCCAAAGTTCAAGACACGAACATGCAAGAACTGCTCGTTAAGTAGGTACATGCACACACCATCACACACCATTTCAATTAAACTCACATATGTAACTATCAACATGTGTGCGGTAGTTGGGCTGGTATCTGGACCAAACGTATCAGCCCAATGCCGCCTGCCATGATTGGTGCGACCGGGAGTGCTGCCCGCCTAACTCGCCCCCGATGCTCTGAGTAAGCTGCGACTGCAGGAATCAGCAAAAGGCCTGACGTGCCAACGATATAACGAACTTGCCCAAAGACAACCAGCTGGAGCTTTGCTGCAGAATGGCACCATGTCCGCCACAATGTTACTCCTTGTGGTTAGGCTTCTGTTTAAAGTTTAAAGCAAGGACTAAGGCATCAAACTATCAAACACTGACGTATCAAACAAAAGCATCACAAGTGATCCGTCAATATGTCCATCTTGTGTCTATTCTTGTTTGATCAAGAAAGTGTTTGGCAGTATCCAGCACATGTATCAAACACTAGGGGTTCTTGGTTGTAGGCCTGGTCTTCCCTAGGGGGTCCTGGATTCCGACTATCAAACACATAGGGGTACTGTTTGATTGGCACCGTTTACGCACCAGCACATGTATCAGCCACACCGTCTGCGTCTCGCCTCCACCACCATCCACGTCCGAGTCGTCCACACGGTAGTCGGTGCCACGGCCACCCCTGCGGTCAGTGACCTGGAGCGCGACAGGTGACGCCGACAGGTGAAGCCCCGAAACACTCTTGGGGCCCGATGTACCAAGTGGAGGACCGGGACAGTGGCGCCCTATTTAAGGGCTACCTTCTTCTAGGCTCTTAGAGCCTAGGTTCCAGATCCTCCGGTTCTGCTGCATGTTCTGCTTCGATGATTGTAGAAGGAAAAAATCACTTTTTGGTTCAATTCAATGCAGTTACACTCCGAGTTACTTTCCATGGAAGTAGAGCTCACCACCTGTTTGGTATTCGGACAATTGTCCTCTTTTCAGGGCCAGGCCATCCACTTCCATGATGATTTCAGGGAGTGCACTTCAAAGTTGTATTCTGCTGTCTACTTTGCCACCGTTGCATCTGTTTTGGCACCATTGAAGATGTGCCCCCCAGAACGGTGCTACCATATGTTGGGGACGTTCGCACAACGATGCACTAAGTCTCATGAGTAGATCTCCCAACAATCACCCCACCGATTGCGGCCACGCATCGGACATGGATGAACATGGTCTTGTCATGTCTCTTCCTTCATACCTTGCTGAAAAATATCTGAGAAGGCCGCCACCTGCGATGCATGTTTGTCTTGCAGTGTATATATATGTAGTGTATATATATATATATAATGTTCTTTCTCCACCCACAGCACTCTTTCTCGACCCTGTTTGGACCCCGCACGGTGATTCGCCACGACCTGCGGACGTGGGAGCGACCAGGTGCTGCAAACACAATGCTGGCAGAGCTGGGAAGGGTCTTATTTCAGAAAGAGCTGAAGCAAAAGCTTCTTATACATATATATATATGTATATACCTATATATACCTACCTATATAAAAATGATTATATCATAATTAGACAAATATATATATACACATGTGCATATATACCTGAGAAGGGGGGGAACGAAAGCCAACAGCCGCCAAACGAGAGGGTCATTTGCTACATAGCAAAAGGTTCGGGAGAAGGTTGCGGGGCAGGTCCATGAGGAGGTTGTGGAGAAGGTTCCGGAGTAGGTTCCAAAGCAGACAAGGCTCCAGAGGAGGGCTTGGACAGCGAAGAGACTGTCTCAGTGGCGCTTCTTGCTGTTGGGGACTTTCCTTGGGCTTATGCCACTGATCCGCCCAAAAAAACACACGTCGCAGCTACACCCTCTTCCCAGAGACATAGAGACACAGAACCATAGAGACATAGAGACACAGAGTCATAAAAGACAGAGACATCAAACACAGAGAAGTTGCTATCTACAGGGGGTCCTTTTCTGATAGCAACTTGTCGCTGCCAACCAATTACCATACTTGATGGCAGGAACTATGTGTCTCAGCATTGGTGTCACCAACCGTGATCTAAAAATGTGGCATAGATGCGTGACTATAACCAATCCTTAAGCAGCAAGTTCTTCACGCCACCAAGTTGCTATCTACACGGGCCCCTGTTCTGATAGTGACTTGTCGCTGCCAACCAACAACCATACTTTGCGCCAATACATACAACCAGTATCTATCTATCTATCTATTTATCTATCTATGATCTATCTATCTACTCTGTATTTATCTAGCTGCGCGGCCAAGCCGGAACAACGTTCGGAGCACGTGGACGCCGCGAGAAGCATCCGCTCGACGGTACAGGTATAGTAGAGACTAGGATGGCTGCTCTAAACATGGGTGCCTGTCTCCGCTCCAGTGCTCAATGCCCATTCTCCAAATAGCCTCCACAGCCCTTCGTGATGCTAATGATGCACTACTCGGCGTCAATTGCATCACTCGCATCACCAGACCCCATTTTCACTGCTTTTCTGACCCTCAGCGCTCTCCCCAGGCAAGCTCCGGGTTCACCCTCTCAAATGGTGCCTTTTCGCGGCCTACCCCCCCCCACACCCCGTTTACTCACTTCGTTCGGTCTAAGAGCTCTAGCCTAGCCTATCGGATGGCTTGCGTAATACTGTATTGTAATATGTATACGGCTGCTGATGAATCAACAAAAATCAAACCGCACATAGGTTGACATGATTTGACAATCTAAAATGGGGGTGCTATTCATCAACAGTCTACATTAAGGTCTGGTGTTTTCACATCACATGTTGGGAAAAAATGGAAAAAGGAAGGTAAACAGTTAAAGGAAGTAACGGAAATCCATCGTCTTAGGGGTTCCAATTCCACAGTTTCCTGTAGATCGTCCCCCAAAAACAATCCATTGATCCATGTGTGAGTGATGGACCAGATCTCTGACGAAGCTCTTTCCATTCTGAAGCCACCGGGAGGGACCGGCAAGGCTTGCGCTGGGACTGCCACAGCCATCCACAGCCCGGGGAGGCAGACGCAAACCATCAATTTTGTCCCATCACTCCATGTGAGGAGTAGCAGTAGCATCGCTCACTCCATGACAAGCAGGTTGAGTTCATGTCACTCCCAATCCTTACTCCCCTCAGTTTCTCTGGAAAAGACATTATATATATATATGTGTGTGTGTGTTATTATATATATATATGTATTACAATTACTATTTACTAATTGTATAACCTTTGTCCACCTATTGTATTTGTGGGTGGGGCAAATTCCCAAAAAAGGTTAAAGGTTATCAACTGACTGGGTAGGAATTGGTACTGCACCGCTCAAATCAAAGTTTTCAACGCTTTGAGGCTTTGCGCGCTAGGCCGGAGTCATAGTCATGGGATCTTCGAATCACAGTCACAGAGTACTCAGTCGATTTCCGCACGCTGTCTGACTAGCATATGTTCCAGATATTTTCTGTGGCCGGATTCCTTGCGACCCATTTCCATGATGAAAAGAGCCGAAAATATCACATGATCTGGGTTACATGTGACCCACATGTTGAGAAAAAAAAACACAATGAACCAAACACGCCGGCGAGTCGGAGATGGTGTTCTCACACTTCGGCGAGAACGATGAGACATCCGACGTTCCGAACAACCCGCGCGTGCATGGCTTGAAGGAACGCTTTCGTTTGGGCTGATTCGTAAATTTGGGTTCATAATGGTTCATAGTTCAGTCTTTCTTTATAAGCTTAACCCTTTGCATGGTGCACGGAAACTTCTGAAAGCGAAAATGCTGAAGAGCAGACTTGATAGTCTTGATACATACAGCCCAGGTATCGATTTAAATATCCAGCTGTGTACGCGGAGTAGGCCGACTTAGCGGCTCGCAAGATACGCTTGCGAAGAATGGCAATCTCTACTCCTGCGTCGCGACAAGCTGCCACGTGTCGGCCGTGAGCGTCGCGGCCGTGCGCATCCAGGTGCGATCAAACGAAAAACCACCACTCGACCAGAATCCACTCGACCAGGTCGTCCGACATCGTTCCCGGTGTTGTGTGTTTTATGTTGTCATCTTTTTGACCTTCTGACCGCCGAAATCCCAAAACACACGCCGCAAATGCCCTTGCGTCCAAGAAACGTGCTGCCACTAAGCTTCACTTGATTTTGAGTGCGGTGCAAATGCCAAACGCAAGGCCAAAAAGCACTATACAAAGGTTGCAGGAAACATTTGGAACAATATGTTCGAAACATAACTCTGTGTGTGTGTGCCAGAACAACGACAGCGCAGCAGCTCCTTCAAAAAAATGGTAATAGACAACTCAACATGGCCTCCTTTGGGTTGATGCCACGTCGGCTGACTGGACTCGTCGGCGGTTCAAAGATAGCGCCGAGCCAACAATCCTCCAAATCCGGAGAACACGGCCGTCAGGAAGTGCATCTGCCTCAAGAAGACCTCGGCCGCAGCAGTATATCTCACTACTGTTTGGTGTGTCCACACTAGGGGTTCTTACGGTAATAGTTAAGGACAAGATACACTACGATACACTGTCTATAGGGTCTCTTGGCTGTCTGTCGGCTGTCCCGCCAGAAAATCCATGCGGCCGGTGAAAACAACATAAAGAATCTGCACTACAAGGAGGGATGAAAATACCTTAAAGTGTTGCATCAGTCTTTTTGTTCACCGACCTGGGTGTAATGTGAATCCTTGCAACACCCCATGGAAACTACAGTACAGTTGGGATTCAAACCGAGAGATTCAAGGCTAGCTACAGTACTGCACCACAAACTTGCTTGCGTATTGAGCCAAGTGACGGCTTGTGACAGGGTGACACCATGCACGATGAAGCCAGCCGAACTATCCGCGATGAAATGCACTAAGTACTGGCGGTGAAGATCGACACGGTCTCCAAGCAACCTCGAAGGTTCTCCGATGCCACGGTTTACACACACATCACACATCTGGTGATATGTTGTAAGGTGCATGGAATTCACTGTGTCAATGACAATCATGACAATCTATGGATACGTGAGAAGCCCTAAAACTTAGAACAAAGACCGTCAATACAGTCCTTTGAAGCACACACACACTGGTGCATCTGCTTGGAGACTGCTCCTTGGATAGTATGCAGCATGAAAAGATACATATATTATACATATCAAATGAAAATATATGAAAAGAACATGTAAGCAAACATTGGTTGTCGACCCCTGTGAAATGCAGCGCAAATATCTAAACAGAAACCATGCAGGTACTAGGGCAAGCAAAGGAAAAGAATACGTTCTACCATAATCGAGAGGAGAGCCTCCGAGGTATTTTCATCTGCGAGCAGCTGGTTCACAAAAGCGGGAATCTGTCGGCATTTTTCACTGAGCAGTGCGCCTTGTGCAACCAGACGAGCGGACAAAAAGAAGAGGTACATCAAGGGGAGCAAGGCTGACTCGGACAAAAGAACTGAACCTGTCAGCACGGTCTGATCGATTGGTGTTCTTCTGTCCGGTTTCAGGGTCGGCGAATCGTGCCAGGCAAAACACACAAAGCAAGTCGGCGGCATCTGCCATGATCTGTTCCGGAGTTGGTGGCACGTATATAGGTTATAGAATGTTATAGACAATAGACATGTATAGACTATAGACTACTGTTTATACCGTTCATATCCGTTCATGATGTATATATGTTTGTTTGCCGCCATCTGTTGCAAATGAGTTGCAACATTTCGGGCAGGGCAGGCATCTGTTGTATTTTGCTAACTCTGCTTTTCACCGAGCCTATGTCCAAATCTGGCTCCAAGAAGAGGCTCAAAGATGCCGCCAAAGAGATGAAGAGGCCGATGTAGCCCAGCGAAATCAAAACTGTGAAGCACCAGGTGACTTCCCTGCCAACACACTTGAGCATTGCTTGCAAGGAGTTCCAGCTAGAAATGCCGCCAATGAAATTCTGCGTTTCCAGCATGTCGCCACACCAGCAATCCAAGGTCTTTCCCAACCCCAGCAGCAAATTGAATTGGAAATAAGCTCCATTCATGGCCACCCAACTGGACACCGCAAAGAGTACAATGGTCACAGCTTCACGGGCCACGTGCATGTACACCTCAACTTCCCGGACTGCACCGGAAAAAGGTTGAAAACGCACCTTTTTCAGCATAAATAGGCACACATGGGCATACACAGGGTGAATCACTTACTTTCGTAGATGCTTTGATCTCCCAGCTGGATGGAACTTTCTGATCCATCGCCCAAACCACTCCAGGGGACTGGAACATCTGCCGCCCCATTCACCCTCCAAACCACCCCAACTGATCGTCCAACTATGGCAGTCCCAAACAGATCGTGTCTGGGATCCCAAACTCCGCGGGGTGTGGTCTCGCCGGATGCTGCTCCAACTCCCCTGCCGGGTTCCCGTCCTTCACCGAAGCTACCACCTCAGCACCTCTTCGTTTGGGAGAGGGCTTTTGGTGGGACCCCCCACTCAAGTGGTTTCGGTTCTAGCTGATCCACTCACCAGATCCTGAGTCCTGGTGAGTGGATGGAACAGTTGAAAAGGGCATCTCATCCCAAGTGAGGCACAGCTCTCACGTCGCTTCCAAGAGCAGTCCACGTCTCGAGCACCTGCTGAGCGATGAATGCACACATCATCACCTCAGGTGGGCCACGCAAGGGCTGAGACCAGACGGCCAAACACGACCTGTCTGGGACTGCCAGTCCGGACTGCCAGTCCGAAACGGCCAGGGGTGGTTTGACTGGGAGCCAATGGGGCGGCATATATGGCAGTCCCATGGAGTGTCTGGGAATGGCCGGAAGATTCCGTAAACTCTTGGAGTTCCTATACCCAAACTCTCCATGTATGGCATATTTACATGCATTTATAGTAATATATTGGGATGCTTGACACAGGATGAATGTAGGCAAATATATGGGGTTATATAATATATTATATTACTTATTTCTTTATTTAAATACATAACACTCAAAAGTGGGAGCGCCCTACCTTTTCTTCCCTCGAGCCCCTGTGGCTAGGCCGTGAGCGGGGGTGGTTCCACACTTACCCCCTCTGGAGCTCACGAGCCTTGGCTACGCACCGCCTTTTGCGGTCAGCTGCCTCCTTCCGAAGGGCTTGTGCCTCCTCAGTGTCCACCAAGCACCATCGCCCTTCCTGCATCACTTGTAGCAGGACACCGTTGTCGCTCCATTTGGTGAGGCCATCACTGACCATCTCCTTTCCGGGCATCCACCTGATGAAGTTGCCCGAGCCCTCTTCCACCAAGGCCTGGCGTAGGACCGCCGCGTCGATGAGGATCTTTCGATCCGAGGTTTGGGCCTCTGAGGCCAGCACATCATACCCGGTTTTCGCATCGATCACCAGGTAGTGCTTCCAGTGGCTTGCATACCACTTCCATGACTTCAGCTTGAAGTCGGAGAAGATCACCTCCGCCAAGGCCGCCCGGATGAAGTCCCCATTCTCAAAGCTCTCAGCGGCCATGGACAGTTCGGCACTCATGCTGCACCTCACGACCCTCTGGATCTTCATGCTTTGCGCCTCCAGTAGGCATACGGGGGCGCTCTTCTCCAAGACATCCGGGTGGGCCACCATGCATGTCAGACCCCCCTGCGAGTGCCCTTTTGGCTGAGCTGCAAAGGCCGCATCACTGGCCGACACCACAATCATGTCTCTCAGGTCGCAGCCCGAACGTGGCACCTTCACGATGACCTCCTTCTTGGCGCGCCCCACCAGCTTTGCAGTCCACTCCATTGCTTCTCTTCTCCCGGCGCCGGCCAACTGTTGACAGTGGGAGACCCCATAGGAAAGGTCATACCTTCCTTGCCGGGCGGTCCAATTGATCTGCCCGAGGATCGAGCCGATCTTGGTGCGTTCCTTTTCACTCAACGGCCCCCGTTCTGGAGCCCACTCTCCCTTCTCAATGTCCGGAATCTTCTCCACGTAATTCTCCATGCTGTAGAGGAACTCCAGGGTCTTCGGGTCCTGCTTCTCGTAGCGCCCACAGAACTTTTGCCAGCCATCGGTAGCCAAACGATGCTGACCAAACTTCAGACGCTCATGCAAGGCATCCCAAATTTCTTGGGCGGTCTCATCCCCCGCATAGCGAGTGTCGTCCACATGGATGGTGACCACTGCTCTCAAGCGACCATCCGGGTGGAAGGCAACGAACATCCCAGGGATCAGCTGCAGCTCGTTCAGCTTGATCTGCTTCAACGTGGCCTTGTACTCCAGGTACCATAGTCTTGGAGATTCTGCCAACCCGAAGCCTCCCTTGAGCAACCTCCGCCGGCAGCTTTTGGCCCTGAAGGAAGGCCGCGCTCACATCCTCGTAGTGCACCACCCAGCCCATCTGAACCGCCACCATGTTCAGGATGTTGTGCCCCAACAGGCTGGCCGTCGGTGCCAAGGTGGGATACCTGCCGGCCTCCATGTCCTTGTGACCCCCCAGGATCCATCGAGCCTTGAGCTCTGCCTTCTCCAGAGTCTCGCCTCCCTTATTCGTCAGCACGAAGCGAGAGCTCAGCACCTTCCGGGGATCTACGATGGCATCCTTGGGAACTCCCTCAATGGCGTCGTGGTCAAAGTACACCTGCACTGCCTTGACCAAGGGCTTCTCATAGGCCTCTTGCCACGCAGCTGACAGCTGCTTCCATTGGTACTCCACCCTCAGCTTGCCAGTCACCAGCTGCGCCTCCAACACGGCCTTGACGTCCCCCGAGGCATACTCCTCCGAGCGGTCGATCACATTCTTGAGGTAGTGGTTCTCCTCGACATCCGCCTCCCACAAATTTTGCTGAGCCTCCACTTCTGACCAAAAGGTGCTCCGCGGCTCCTCTGCTTCAACCTCAACCACCAAGGCTCCTCGTGTGGGCGGGGCAGAGGTGCCCCTCGCTGAGCTGGCCGCTGTGGAACCTCGTGCTGCTTGCCGCTCCTTCTCCTTGTGCTCCTTCTTCCAATCCTTCCGCACCTTTTTCAACTGGCCGTAGGCATTCTCCAGGCGATCCCGCACGGCTGCCTCCTGCATAGCTGACGGGGCCCCCAGATCCTTGGCCAGTTGTTCAAACAGCTTCTGCTTCTTCTTGAACGGGAGGAGATGTGGTTCGTCCCGTTCATCCTTCCCGAGCGCCTGTGGCACATCATGCAGGAGCTCCCTCTTCTTCTCCACCTCTGCCTCAACGGAGACCGCCGGGGGCTCTGCTGCGGCTTCCTCTTCCTTCGGGTCGTCCTTCTTCAGGTCCTCCACCTGGAGTCTACCATCGTTCAACTCGCCCTCCAAATCCTTCAAGGCGCCGACGATGAAGTCTGCACTGACCATCTCATCTGCCGTGGCCAGCCGGATCTTCTCGAGCGGGTAGGCCTTCACCCGGGACCGGAGCCTCACCCACACCTTCTTGGGAGTTGTCCCTTCCCGCTCCACGCACACCACAATGGCTGGTCCTGACCAGGATACGTTGTCCTGCAGACGGCGTGCAAGCCCTCGTCGATTTGCCGGAGGATCGTACACATACACGGCAGTCCCTTCTCGAAGTAGCTCCAGGTGAGGTGGTCTGGACCGCGCTGCTAAGGCTCGGCGAAGTCCTTCATGGGCATCGATCCAATGGCAAGCTTCAATGGAGGCGGCTCTGATCCGATCTGCTCGACGAATGGCCTCCTCCTGAGTGATGGCCTCATTGAGCTTAAACTTCACCTTCCCACTGGTCAGCTGGGCCATCAACGAACCTGGCAGTGGGGTGTTCCTTCCGGTCACGGCTTGCAGTGGAGCGACTCCATGTTTGCCCACCACCCGATTCTTAGAGGCAAAGCACGAGGCCAAGGCACACTGCATGTCCTTCAAGTTGTCGATCTGCAGCTCAGTCACCACCTTCATCAACATTATCTTCATGATCGACCCGTGCCTCTCGGCGTGTCCCAGCCGCCATTTGGCTTGATCGGGCACCACTTCATGCTGCACCGCAAAGAGCTCGTTCATGCGAGCCAGCGCCCCCTGGAACTCCGTTCCCCCATCCGTGATGAGCACATCGGGCGGGCCAAAGACGTCATACCAGAGTCTGCATAGCACGTCGGCCGCCCAATCAGAGCTCGGGTCAAAGTCCAGTGCCCCCACATGGTAGTCCGTGAGCTCATCGATGTAGTGGATCACCGCGTACTTCACCTCCTTAATGTCCCAGATGAAGAACACGTCACCGCTCACCCGCTGATTGAAGTTGGTCGGCTTGAGATAGGACGCCTGAGGTTTGCTTCCCGGGGGTTTGACCATCTGGCAGACCTGGCAGCGCATGTTCTTCACCCCGTTCAGGAGATCAGAGTTTCCTCCAGCCAGACTGATCATCCGGTGGAGGCGCTCATTTGACAGGTGGCCCAATGCCACATGCAGATGTGCCAAGGTAGCCCTGGTCCGCCGTGGAAGCATCCGCGCCTCACTCTCGAAGAGGATGTAGTCGTAGCGCTCCCCTTCTGCGCCCATCTGCTTCATCTGGCGTCGTAGAACCTCCTCCGGGGTCAGAACTCCTTCCTCCAGTGCCACTGGAAGAGCATCATAGCTGGCGGGAACAGGGTCTCTCCTGGTGTATCCCGGCCGGCCGGCCAGACACACCTGCGCCGCCTCCAGGATGTACTTGGCAAACTGCTTAGTCCAGCGCCCTGCCAAAGTTGATCTCCGCTCCAGTCGTCCATCCACTCGCACTGAACCTCGAACTTGTTCATGTTCTGCGGGGCGATGCCTGCACCTGGTGACCGTAGCCAATCCCATGGCAAACGCTTGATCATTTACATCCAGGGCAGTGGTCTTCCGGTACAGCCGATGTGAGACCGGGTCCTTGAGGCCAAATTGACACTGATCCACCACCACTCTGTATAGCGGGTCCCTCTCCACCATAGGTCGGGTCTCCAGCGCCTCAGAACCCTCCGGCTGCTCCGTGAGGCACAGCCGCCCCTCCTCATTCTGGATGTCCCACACCTCCTTGGTCATGCGCCAAAATGGCATCTGCTCCCTCCGGATGTCATCCAGCTCATTCTGTCTCAGCCTCTGCCAAGCGCACCAAGGTCCGCAGGGAGGGGTGATCACCACGAGGTCAGGCTTGAGGTTCCGCACCATCTCCTTCACCTTCTCGCGGTTGGCCTTGACCTTCATGTCACCGTCCTCGCTCAAGATGACATCCACAGGTTGATAGGCTCCCCAACCCGGGGAGTCCGCGGCCACCTGGGTCAGCATCGACGAACCGGAGAAGATCTCCAGGACCATGAACTTCTCCGCGACTTGGGAGCCTCGCTTGAGGCGGTCCAGCATCCGCAGCCCCTTTTGCACCCCCATCTTCATGTGTTGGGTCAAGCCCCTCGCTGGCCTCCGCATGGTCCATTGTGTTGGCTCCTGCCTCTTCTGGTAGAACACCTCCTTATCCTCGTCGTAGAGGCTCCCGAGCTCCTCGTGGTCCTGATAGAGCTCCTCCAGGGCATAGATGGATTCCCGAACGTCCCGCCCGACGCCCTCATAGTCCTGGTAGTCGTCGCCCTCTGGTGGATGCCCTCGTCCTCGGCTGTCGGGATCTCCTCCACAATGACGTCACTGCTCACATCAGAGGAAGCGCCACCGGGGCATGCAGCCGTTGCCTCAGAGCTCCGAAATGGCCCCACCAAAAGGCCA